TCAGCTACCGCGTACTCTTCGTACAATGGTTGTAGCTGCCACATTTTCGTTCACCGATGATTCGGGGAGGTGGGGTAGGTAGCTGCGCATTGGAGGCGGTAGCTGATAAATTAGCGCGTAAATACAGCACTGTAGGGTGGACTGCTAAGTGGGTGAATTAAGAAGGGAGCTATGCATGGAAGGCAATAGCTTGGATGCATGAGCGCCATTGAGGGCGCGACTAGGCCATGTCTGACAATATCTCTAACCATTGATACGGCCCGCCTCGGGGTCCCCATCCAGGAACAAGGCAATGACCAGCGCAGCTGAGTTTGCTGGTAATGGCTTTCGCACTTCGCTGCCAAGTCATTGTTTGACCGCCTCTGGCTCTCTCCCACCCTTCACCTGGTTGTGCGAAAAGAGTCCTTCGAGGATATCGGTCGACTGGCATACACAGCACATGGCCAAGCCAGCTCAACCTATGCAGTTTGGTCAGTTCATCTATCGAGGGTGAGTTATTTTTCCGGAATACCATTTGACGAACTTCAGCGTTTTTGGTCCGGTGTTCTCACCAGATTCGGGCAATGCTCCGAAGACATCGGACAGTTGCAAATCAGCACTAGTAACTGATCTGACACTTGAGGATAAGAAAAGAGGTCTTCCCTCGTGTTCTTTAAACCCAACACTTTTGCCACGAGGCAGCTATGAAATCACGAGGGTCCAAAACGACGGAACTGACCTATCCTTTGCATGAAGATATTCACAAACGTGCAAGTTTACACATCATACATGTATGAACGTTCTGTTTGTTAGTCTACAAATCTTTGGTCTTTGTGAAGGCATCGTTGATGCACTGTCATTAGGACAACTAGTTTTGCGCTCCAAAATCCTGGTTTCGTGGACAGTTGCCAGATTGCGTGAAATGGACATATTTTAAACGAACTTTACGTGGAGGATTTACAGGATTCCGAAAGCAGAGTAGGTAGTCTGTGACGGAAACCGTAATCAGTAAATCGACAGTCTCTGCACCAAGCGTTTGGCGTACGTACATCTTAAGGCAAGCGAACAAAAAACACCATCTACCGCTTACCCTCCAACCCATTCAGTGTCATGCTGTATATTTCTGGTACATTGGTAAAACAGCTGCGTAGGTGTTCTGCTATTGGACAGAATGCTTATGACCGAGTTCGTCAACTAATAAATCCAAATATCTGTAACGAGCCCCATGCAAACTGCGAAGTGTGTGGCAGCCTGATCACCCTAACCCTATACATTAGCTTTCGACTGGATGCACAAACAACCATATAAAGCTTGATTTGTATTGTGTGTACCTTTTCGGTGGGTGCTTTTACCTTCAACTGAAGTTGCGTCATTCAAATCGCTTCGAGTAGTCATTACAACACAACTGTGATAACAGTGCACAAATGTTGCCGTAGAACTTGAGGCATATTATCACGATAAGCCCCTAATGTCAACCAAGTAGTAGCAATCAAAAAATCAAAAAATGAGAAAGCTGGTAAAACTGTAGGGACATTTATTTTCAACGAATGAAGGATAACACGATGCAAAATTTGTGACAGAAACATTGGGCAGGTGCTCTACATTTTCGGTCCTTGTAGGACTTTGTTTATCAGTTCTGCAGAGGACAGAGAAAAATGAGACAGTTGTGAAACGCTGTGAGCTTTTCAAACGTACCTTCATACTTGATGTTTCCGTCAAAGTCCTCATGGAGGTCAATTAGTTTGACAAGCGTATCAACTTGTTTATCGTCCAAGGGTTCACCTGGGAACACGGAGGTTTTGACAATCACTTCTTACTGACTCACCATATCCTGTCAATACGCTTCGCATTTCGGCTGCCGTGATGAAGCCTTGACCTTCTCGATCGAAAGACCTGAAGACTGCTACGTAGTCAGAGAATTTTCCACCTTCATTGGCTTTCAAGATGGCCTCGTAACAGGGCAAGAATTGATCGAACCGGTACTGTTTTTCTCCTGGGAAATGAAAACGACAACAGTGACTGAGGATGTTAAACAACTGTACGAGCTTCAGTTTGGCATACAGTATGAAGTTCGAATACACTACGCACCACCTGAGTAACGATTTGATCCAAAAACATTCATGTAAAATTAGAAGACAGCTTAACTAACCCATCCAGTTTATCGATTATTTCGTGCTCCCATGATATGCGAACGGTGTGCCTGTCCGAAAATGTTTATTTCTGAAACTAGAGCATTAAATTTCTCGCTTCACCTGCAGCAAAGTTATTGAAATAAACGAAAAAAACTATCTGGGAAACCATAAAAGTAGCCGAGTCTTACCCGGCTACCCGTAAAAGTGTTTTAAATAGGATGATCAACCAATCAAACTCATTTGAGATGCACCTTTTTTCAGCGTGGCTCCGTGCTTCACGGTTAGTGCAATGGTGGGGTTCAGACCACAACAACGGAGCAGGTCCCCCACCTTGACAGCATCAATTAGACCGTCTTGGCCATCCCAGAAATCGAACAAATCAAAGACCTCTCGGACATCTGTATGTGTAAAATAAGAGAAACAAAATTAAGTAGAGGCCGATACACAAGTAGACAAATGTTCTCAAACGTACCTTCAATATCGGCCTTTGTTAATGAGCCCTGAAAAAGGAGGAGAGAGTTACCATTGGTTGTATCTCAAGCGGGTCATTGTGCTCCGAAATCAGCTACGTTTTAGAAACCTCTATCAAAAAGACTTGCCGTTGAATGGTGGTCAGAGGTTCCATACTGCCGCTACTGAATGAATCCTGTACTTTCCACTGGATGTAAAGACTACCTTAGTAATACAACTCCCAGCCGTGCATTGGAGCCATCCGGTCTGGTGAGCCACGTGGTAGACCAGAACATGAGTTGGCTTGGCATAAATTGAGATTACCAATCAGAGTAGATTTACTGTTATTGTCTGTCGCGTGCAAATATTACCCCCAGGAGTCCATCAAAAACGTCCTTGAGGGTGATAGAGTTGCCTGGAAGCTGAATCTTTTAGAGGGTAAGGCAGTTCCGTCACATACTGAGTAAAATAACAGTAAATATACCGGAAGATGACAAAATTCCAAATAAACTGAGAGACTGTGGTGACTCTCCTGTAAGACCCTCNTCCCCACGCATCCAAATGAAAAGCCGGGAAACGCGTGATCGGCAAACTATCACACTAGGGATACGGGTCATGTGAGTTCAACTTGATGTGAGCTGAGCTCAGTGTCTGTTTGCGTGCTTCTGTCATCAGCTGGATTCAGCACGCGTACTGAGGCCATGCAGTCCGTAATGCCCAGTTACATAAGACTAAACATAGTATTAGGCAAAAAATTCTTGGAATGGCAAGAATAAAATTTACCAAAGTACGCACTTATTTTTAAGAGACGATATATCTATCCGACAAGATCCCACTGTGGTGGAATCCGGCACCTAATTAAGTTGTTTCATACAGAGCGGTGCAGAGGTGTCTCAGGAAAGATAACCATTTGCGAGGAACTCGAACCTACAAATCGACCTATGTCCACCTGTCAGGTAGCGGTTGATCCGTTCATTGACCCTGGTAGTTGCAATCATCATCATCATCATCATCATCAGCAGTAATAACCGCGTACTTGTTGAACAATGGTTGTAGGTGCCACACTTTCGTTCACCGATGATTCGGGCATGTGGGGTACGTAGTTGCGCATTGCAGGCGGGAGCTGATAAACTAGGGCATAGATACAGCACTGTAGGTGGATTGTTAATTGGGGGGATTGGGAAGGCAGCTATGCATTGCATAGATACAGGTAGGTGGATTGTTAATTGGGGGGATTGGGAAGGCAGCTATGCATTGAAGTCAGTAGCTTGGATGCATAAGTGCCATTGATTGAGCCACTAGGCCATGTTTGACAATGTCTCTAACCATTGATGCGGCCCGCCTCGGGGTCCCAATCCAGGAAGAAGGCAATGACCAGCGCAGCTGAGTTTGCTGGTAATGGCTTTTACACTTCACTGCCAAATCATTGTTTGACCACCTCTGACTCTCTTCCACCCTTCAAGTGGTTGTTCGAAAAGAGCCATTCGAGGAAGTCGGTCGACTGGCATACGCAACACATGACCAAGCCAGCGCAACCTATGCAGTGTGATCAGTTCATCTAGCGAGGGTGAGTTATTTTTCCGGAATACCATTTGACAAACTTCAGCGCTGTTGGTCCGGTGTTCCCACCAGATTCGGGCAATGCTCTGAAGACATCAAGTAGTTGCAAATCAGCACCGGTAACTGATTTGACATTTGAGGATAAGAAAAGAGGCCTTCCCTCGTGTTCTTTAAACCCAACACTTTTGCCATGAGACAGCTATGAACTCACGAGAGTCTAAAACGACGGGACTGACGTATCATATTTGCATGAAGATATTCACAAACGTGCAAGTTTACACATCATACATGACCGTTCTATTTGTTAGTCTACAAATATTTGGTCTTTGTGAAGGCATCGTTGATGCACTGTCATTAAGAAAACTATTTTTTGCGCTCCAAAATCCTGGTTCCGTAGACAGTTGCCAGATTGCGTGAAATGGACATATTTCAAACAAACTTTACGCGGAGGACTTACAGGATTCCGAAAGCAGAGTAAGTAGTCTGTGACGGAAACCGTAATAAGTAAATCGACAATCTCCGCACCAAGCGTTCGGCGTACGTACATCTTAAGGCAAGCGAACAAAAAAACACCATCTACCGCTTACCCTCCAACCCATTCAGTGTCATGTTGTATATTTCTGGTACATTGGTAAAACAGCTGCGTAGGTGTTCTGCTATTGGACAGAATGCTTATGACCGAGTTCGTCAACTAATAAATCCAAATATCTGTAACGAGCCCCATGCAAACTGCGAAGTGTGTGGCAGCCTGATCACCCTAACCCTATACATTAGCTTTCGACTGGATGCACAAACAACCATATAAAGCTTGATTTGTATTGTGTGTACCTTTTCGGTGGGTGCTTTTACCTCCAACTGAAGTTGCGTCATTCAAATCGTTTCGAGTAGTCATTACAACACAACTGTGATAACAGTGCACAAATGTTGCCGTAGAACTTGAGGCATATTATCACGATAAGCCCCTAATGTCAACCAAGTAGTAGCAATCAAAAAATCAAAAAATGAGAAAGCTGGTAAAACTGTAGGGACATTTATTTTCAACGAATGAAGGATAACATAATGCAAAATTTGTGATAGAAACATTGGGCAGGTGCTCTACATTTTCGGTCCTTGTAGGACTTTGTTTATCAGTTCTGCAGAGGACAGAGAAAAATGAGACAGTTGTGAAACGCTGTGAGCTTTTCAAACGTACCTTCGTACTTGATGTTTCCGTCAAAGTCCTCATGGAGGTCAATTAGTTTGACAAGCGTATCAACTTGTTTATCGTCCAAGGGTTCACCTGGGAACACGGAGGTTTTGACAATCACTTCTTACTGACTCACCATATCCTGTCAATACGCTTCGCATTTCGGCTGCCGTGATGAAGCCTTGACCTTCTCGATCGAAAGACCTGAAGACTGCTACGTAGTCAGAGAATTTTCCACCTTCATTGGCTTTCAAGATGGCCTCGTAACAGGGCAAGAATTGATCGAACCGGTACTGTTTTTCTCCTGGGGAATGAAAACGACAACAGTGACTGAGGATGTTAAACAACTGTACGAGCTTCAGTTTGGCATACAGTATGAAATTCGAATACACTACACACCACCTGAGTAACGATTTGATCCAAAAACATTCATGTAAAATTAGAAGACAGCTTAACTAACCCATCCAGTTTATCGATTATTTCGTGCTCCCATGATATGCGAACGGTGTGCCTGTCCGAAAATGTTTATTTCTGAAACTAGAGCATTAAATTTCTCGCTTCACCTGCAGCAAAGTTATTGAAATAAACGAAAAAACTATCTGAGAAACCATAAAAGCAGCCGAGTCTTACCCGGCTACCCGTAAAAGCTTTTTAAACTGGATGATCAACCAATCAAACTCATTTGAGACGCACCTTTTTTCAGCGTGGCTCCGTGCTTCACGGTTAGTGCAATGGTGGGGTTCAGACCACAACAACGGAGCAGGTCCCCCACCTTGACAGCATCAATTAGACCGTCTTGGCCATCCCAGAAATCGAACAAATCAAAGACCTCTCGGACATCTGTATGTGTAAAATAAGAGAAACAAAATTAAGTAGAGGCCGATACACAAGTAGACAAATGTTCTCAAACGTACCTTCAATATCGGCCTTTGTTAATGAGCCCTGAAAAAGGAGGAGAGAGTTACCATTGGTTGTATCTCAAGCGGGTCATTGTGCTCCGAAATCAGCTACGTTTTAGAAACCTCTATCAAAAAGACTTGCCGTTGAATGGTGGTCAGAGGTTCCATACTGCCGCTACTGAATGAATCCTGTACTTTCCACTGGATGTAAAGACTACCTTGGTAATACAACTCCCAGCCGTGCATTGGAGCCATCCGGTCTGGTGAGCCACGTGGTAGACCAGAACATGAGTTGGCTTGGCATAAATTGAGATTACCAATCAGAGTAGATTTACTGTTATTGTCTGTCGCGTGCAAATATTACCCCCAGGAGTCCATCAAAAACGTCCTTGAGGGTGATAGAGTTGCCTGGAAGCTGAATCTTTTAGAGGGTAAGGCAGTTCCGTCACATACTGAGTAAAATAACAGTAAATATACCGGAAGATGACAAAATTCCAAATAAACTGAGAGACTGTGGTGACTCTCCTGTAAGCCCCTCCGTAGAAAAGCAGTGGTCATAAAAAAGCCACCACTATCATCCATAGTTGTCATCCTTATGCAGATTCAGGTACTCTGTAAACACAACAAGTGGAGCCATTATAAACTTTGCTTTCTGAACACTCGGGCTGATTCAAGCAGATTTCTTTTTGCATATTTCCATTGGGTAAAGTGTTTACTATCCTTAAGAATCAACTTGACACATACAGTACTGTGATGTACCCACGGGTTTTTCCATACATACATACATACATACATACATACAGACATACATACATACATACATACATACATACAGACATACATACATACATACATACATACATACAGACATACATACATACATACATACATACATACAGACATACATACATACATACATACATACATACAGACATACATACATACATACATACATACATACAGACATACATACATACATACATACATACATACAGACATACATACATACATACATACATACATACAGACATACATACATACATACATACATACATACAGACATACATACATACATACATACATACATACAGACATACATACATACATACATACATACATACAGACATACATACATACATACATACATACATACAGACATACATACATACATACATACATACATACAGACATACATACATACATACATACATACATACAGACATACATACATACATACATACATACATACAGACATACATACATACATACATACATACATACAGACATACATACATACATACATACATACATACAGACATACATACATACATACATACATACATACAGACATACATACATACATACATACATACATACAGACATACATACATACATACATACATACATACAGACATACATACATACATACATACATACATACAGACATACATACATACATACATACATACATACAGACATACATACATACATACATACATACATACAGACATACATACATACATACATACATACATACAGACATACATACATACATACATACATACATACAGACATACATACATACATACATACATACATACAGACATACATACATACATACATACATACATACAGACATACATACATACATACATACATACATACAGACATACATACATACATACATACATACATACAGACATACATACATACATACATACATACATACAGACATACATACATACATACATACATACATACAGACATACATACATACATACATACATACATACAGACATACATACATACATACATACATACATACAGACATACATACATACATACATACATACATACAGACATACATACATACATACATACATACATACAGACATACATACATACATACATACATACATACAGACATACATACATACATACATACATACATACAGACATACATACATACATACATACATACATACAGACATACATACATACATACATACATACATACAGACATACATACATACATACATACATACATACAGACATACATACATACATACATACATACATACAGACATACATACATACATACATACATACATACAGACATACATACATACATACATACATACATACAGACATACATACATACATACATACATACATACATTCATACATATATAACGTACATACATACACAACATCGATGCGGCCCACCAAAATGCGTGCAAGTGTGTTGGTAACCTTTCGAACCCTAGTAGTACCCAGGTCGCGCCAGTGACCACTAACCTGACTATCACCATCATCACTCAACATCGGTGGCATCAGCACACATCATGCCTTGTGAATAATTACACCTCAGGTCCCAAGATAAAGGATAGAGATGATCGTGTATAGTCTTACGACAGTGATCAAGAGTAAGGTTTCCACGCCTAAGAACATCATCACATCAAACATAATTCAGCATCGTGCTGGAGTGAAATGGCATCCGCGAGACAGCCCAACGAAACTTACACCCCATACAACTTCAGTCGAGGAAGACGAAACTCAAAATGACAACCTATTAGCCGGTGAGGTTTCTTACGCTATGGGGTTTCGAGTCGTATTCATCACGAATAAATGATCCCTAGCAAGAAAAGCACCAGGAGTCCCTCAGTACTGTACTCAAGAGTGGCCGCCTAAGCAACTGGGGCCAGTTTATCAACTGTCACTCAGATAACAGCCAATAAGCGATCCATTGTGTTCATTGCTCATATTCGCAAACTTTTCACTTACTAGGGTTTGTGTTCGAACGTAAACTATGCTTTGACAAACGTAGTAAATAAGGAGGTTTCAAAGAGGTTGAGACACTTCATGGAACTGGATTACATATAGCTTCGTTTTAAAATTTATTTGTGGATATACTACTGTTAGCCAACCACTTCAGTAATAAGATGACACCCGTGAGCTAGTATCTTCATATCTGTGCAGTTAGGGCTCTCGGAAATATAGAAGAACTCCTTTTGCAGTCGTTTGTAAACAGAACCTTTTCACTTTGATGAACCCGGTTCCCGACGCTTCAAAAAATTGAGTCCGAAACTCGTTACTCCCTTAGTAATAGTGCTGCACAGATCATATTTGGCTCAGTGAAATCGAGTATGTTCTCCTAAGGATATTTCAATGGGTCAATAAACTCCCCTCGAAGGTTCACTGAGAAACGAAGAGACGGAGGTGGTCAGTTCTAAAAACGGAATCCAGCACAGATTACCTGAGTTTCATGTTCCCCAACCCAATAAACCTTAATCCTATCGTTTGGTCATTATCAGACCCTTTCTGAGTGAGAGTGCAAAGAACAATTCCTAATTTTCAGTAATTATCCTATTCAAAGGGCACCGGGGCAATCAAAAACTTGGAAACAGTAAGAATTTTACGTTCTGAATATCCCAGACGGAAGTTGATGAGGGCGGTAACTTCTAGCAACCTCTCAAGGATAGATAGACGTTTTAGTTGTCGAAACCATGTTGACAAAGCCTGAGTCCTCCAGATGTTATCTCTGTAATTGTTGGGAGTCCCGAATTGACCAAAAATTAGAAAAGAAGATAACCGAGACTTTTAAAACGCTAATGAAACGTTTCATCATGTTCATTCAGAACTGATCACGTCACATCAACGAATACCTCTTTATGGGTAGGTGATAGTTATGGCGCAGTCAAATTCGTCGACACGGGTAGATGTGTTTTAAACCCGAACTTTACATTGTATGGCTCACAATTTAGGGGTTATCCTAAGTCAACTTTAGCCGTGTTGAAGTTCCCTAAAATCCCCAGATTTTGTTTTGTTGCTAGTCACTCTATTCAAAGTGTCCCATCCTATCAAAATATTCGAGTATTCTGGGATGATACCAAGTCGTTCGAAACTCTTCACAAACAAAGAGCGATTTGGTTTAAGGTCTTATAAAACGAACACCTGGAGAAAACGACTGTCGAGTAAAAAAGAGTGTCGCCAAGAAGTAAGAAACAGTTACCGATTTTGTCTTTTTTCGGGTGGGGGGATCTAAGGCACCGTTTCAGCAGATTTTTTCAGTGGCACTTACCATTGTAGAGGACCCGGTGTGCACTCGATAAGGAAAATGGTTAGAATACTATCCACCGCGAGTGTAAGACAGGGCTGGAGGCTGCTGCAGCTACGGGCTAATATGTATTTGTTTAGTGATTGTTTGCATATATGACCTGATTGTAACTCCGATTGGTTAACTGCATAGTTTGTTCCACATTTGCGGAAGTTGGCAGACTGGAATCTAAGGTTGTGGCAACGTACTCCCCTCCACTACTAGGCTTATCGAAATGCCTATAAGACTTAAGGTCAATCGATCGGTTCGAGGCAAAAGGATGCCACAGTCCCACAAACTTGTCAGCTTTGTAGTTCGTTTATATTCACGAAGCCGGCCACAAAGGATGTGAAAGGACCTACTGCAGGCTGTCAATGGTGAAGCCTGTATGGTTGCTTCGTTCAGCTTCCCCCATTAGGCTGTGTGACCTAAGGAATCGTAAAACACCAGCTGGCTTGCAGTGCCGCATAAAAATGAAAGATGATTGCGGCCTTGACCCGAGCACAGCCAGTAAAGGAAAATAACTGTTAAGAAAACAAGAGTGAACAGTGCAAAAAATCTTATTACAGCGTTGTGTAGACGTTTCCGAATAAGCAATGTGTTACCCGCCTAATAACAAACTAAGACCCACGCAAGCTCAGATTAATTTCTGTTGCGAAGCGGTAGCTCGCTTGCTAGTCGTCCGTCTTTGACAAAATGGTCTGTTCCCAACGGATTTGGCTACAGATGTATGAAAAATATACCCTTAAGGCAACGAAACGGGCTTACCGTAGTGGATGATTGAAGAGATCATATATGAATTTCATCGCTCTCTACCAGTTCGGAGGTGCATTCGATGACCAGAAGTGGAGGGAAGGGTTAACTGATATAACTATACCCCCTGAGCTACCCAACACTAACCTAGCATTCGTCGAATAGCCTATTTGGCTGACAGAATTTCTACGTTC